GATAATCCAATTTGGTTTTCATATATAGTCTAATTCAAAAAAGCTCAAATGCTTTATGTAGGTTTCAATCATAATTTCTCATTTAAGAATTTGACATAAATTTGAAGTTTCTGGAATATAGTGGTCGTTATTGTGTTCTGTTTATGTGTGTTATGCGTATGTGTGACTTTTTTTTTCTTGGAGGGGGGGGGGGGGGGGGGGATGTTACACAGCATACATGTATTCGTCTTTAGGGAATCAAGTAATGGAAATAATTCAAGACCATATGTCTGCTTGTAACTAAGTAATATTTATAAAGTTATGAAAGGTTCTTTATATTGGTATATTATAATTTTAAACGTTTCAAAACAAATAAATGAAATTATAGATATACATAAATGTCTTTAATAAAACAATAATAAATACTAAAATATTTTAAATATAAAAAATTTGTAATGATTTAAAATTAATTCAAACAGCTATTCGTAAAGATGAAATTATGAACCTTTTCAAGGGAGAACACGCATTGATTCGATAGACTTGTTGGAATTGAAACATAGTACAAAGGGATGTCACTCTTGCAAACAAATGACACATCAAAAGAATAAATTAACACACCATTCGTGCTCCAGCTTATTTGAAGATTCTAAATTATCAATATAACTAACAGTTTTTAATCTATAGGATAGTGATTGCTAACGAATGCTAACCCACAGTAAAGTGTTTTTGTTTATTTATTTTTTTTAACCTACTCAGAAAAATGCACGAACTACTTGACTTCCATAGTTCATAATTAACGTGTTTGCAAATTAATATAATATAGTCGCTAAACATTGTCTCTAACAGTAAAAGACACAATACAGATCGTATGCTTGCATCAACTTACCCAAATAAAGATTTAATTAAAGCCTGAATAAACATTTTGACATTGTATTTTTTTTTTATCCGTGTCGGTTTTTTATTATTATCACAACTTCCTGTTAAGATTTGACAAAAATATCTATATCCCGATATCGTCAGGAAAAATCCCTACACAGACCACTTTTCATGTATTTTAAATTATCATTGTTTGTACAATATAGAGTCAAAATATGTCACTCTTGCTAAAATTTAAATAAAAATATACAAGTAGCTTAAGTTTTAAAAGTTTGGATAACCAACATTTTGTTCACAGCTCTACCTTGTTATTGGTAAACACGTCCAGTTTCTACAATTTCAAAGTTAAACTGATTGTAAAAGAAACAGATTCTTAAATTATCATCAATCACTGAGAACGAATGGATTTCTCCAATTTTGATAGTTAAATCAAAGAATTCAACTATCTCGACTGGAGAAACCTAAATATCTACTGATATAGATTCTGGTAAGAATCTAAAAGTCCGATTTCGAAATTAGATATTTATATGTCCATAATTAGATTATGTAAAATTCCATATTTTTCATTATTAAGAAGCACGATAATTTACTGATGACAATATCAAGATTTCCAATCTGGATTGGAAAATTAGATAATAATCTAATTAATGCTTTCCAGTAATCCTAAATAATGGGTTCTCAAATCTGAATTTGAAAATTATAAAATCAATTGTTAAAAAGTTTGAGCTTTAATAAACTTTTATTTTTTTTAACTTTTAAGATTGGACAAATTTGATATATAAATGCATCTCATGATTATCTAAGAATGCATATCACTTATTTGCAATTGTATAATATTTTTTGTATGTATATGTTTTTCCTTTTGTTCTTCACATTTCCATCAATGAAGATTATTGAAGAAACATCTACGTAGTGAAGATGGCTCATACACTCTTCTCCATCAGTTTTTCAGACAGAGAATAATATTGACATAAGAGCATTTTCTGTTGTTAGAAGTGTGTAAGTGTGCACATATTACTTACATTTTTCTCTATGTGGTGGTGGAGACACAGAATTTTTTTTTTTCAACTTTGTTCAATCCTGCCTCCCACAGAACAGGTGATCAGGGGTCATGTTCTTATGTGAGTGTCCCCGTCAGGCTCAGAAATAACAACAAATTTGTATCTAGCATCAGTTACAAGTTGGCCACGTACAAACTCAATTTCCCAGCCCAAAGTTTTCGATTTTTCTTTTTATTACTCCAATTTGACCCCCGACCATCCTAACTTTTTGTCCCTTTTCATATTTCGTTTAAGAACATTTTCTTTTTTTGAATAAAATGAGCAGACGAAAGGATCGCGATAGTTTGTTCACACGTTATTTCGTCGTTTATCGGAAAAGTAAGAGAGTTCTTGTTAACCTTGAAAAAGTAGTTCCGACAGGTCAAGAGCATTGGTTATCTAACCATTTGCTAAGAACAATTTTTTTTCGAGAAACTAGTAATATTTTTCTCACACCGATCGGAAAATGTAAATTAGAAATATAACTAACAAATCATATTGCTAATGCAAAACGTGAAATCATTGCGTTTCCTTGTAAATTGTAACACAAAAGGATAAAGATTTGTCGTATAAAAATATTCAGTTTATAGATATAAGAAGATGTGGTATGAGTGCCACTGAGACAACTCTCCATCCAAGTCACAATTTGTAAAAGTAAACCATTATAGATCAAAGTACGGCCTTCAACACGGAGCCTTGGCTCACACCGAACAGCAAGCTATAAATAAACAAAACTGGTCAAGCAGGGAGATTTTAATTTCAGTAAATGTCTCCCCATATGCATTGAATTTATTGTGTTATTTCGTCAACATAAACTTAACTATCATCGGAAACAATACTATAAAGTATATAAGATATTTCATAACCACAGACTCAAACACATTTGAATATAAAATTCGTACCCATGTTTCCTCTAATAATTAGAGTAATACAATTGAGAATGGAGTTGCAGTAAAATTGGTACCGTAAATGTAATTAGAAAGAAATTGATATTAAAGACTTAAAAAATTAATGTTTAATCATAGCTGGTGATCCAACCAGTGCGCTCGTGTTATTTTGTGAGCTATGAATCAATAGTATTTTACCTAGACACAACTCTCTTTCTCTCTCTCTCTCTCTAGGATTTGCAACATTATTTAAGTTTACAAATGTTTTGCTATTTTCACCACACTCGTTCTTTAATAGCATACTTGTCAGCGAAATCTTTCAATCATCCGATATCTTTTCAAAAGGCCATCTTTCACCTGCATCAATGTTGTCCAAAAGAGGTTCCATCGCTCTACATCAAGGGTTCTAAACCTTTGGTCCACGCTCATCATATTGATTACTCGTTGTTTTTGTCTCAGAACCTTAGTTCAACAACACACTATGATATGTAGACTCAAGTATCTATTACGGTAATATTTGTATCGTATAGGTATCTAACATGTTCAAATTCGTGTCTCGTGCGTCTACACCTTGATCGTGAGGGAAATTTTAGGTGCGTTTCAACTAAAAATACAATTTCAAAAGTGACTTTGTGGCAATAAAAAATTCCGATCTAGCACTTATGTCATTGACGCATTTTTTTTATTCCGGCTTTTACAAAACGTATAATGTTTTCTTTCCAGATGGACTCTTCTCTGTAAAGTTAAGTTTATTCAGAGGGAAATGTTTTGTATTTGCAATAACTAACAATTGCATTGTTATACGATCTGTATGCATCCGTCTACTGCGTTTAACAACTATAATTAAGAAAAGGACTGATCAAATAATCAAACTAAATTAATCAACTGCTGCAGTAGCTGTCAATTCGTTAAGACTACATATTTGTGTATACATTTTAAGAGAGAACATGATCTATAGTTTACTTTTTAAAAGAGTTTCAATATATGGCTTAAAGTTTTCATTTTGTGAGATACTGTTAGCCAAAAAATTAAATTTATTTGTCTATGATGAGTTCATAATAGAGAGGCGAAATATACACAATGTATTTGTATTAAAATCATGTATTTTGTGTCTGTTTACAACCAAGTAAGATAGTTTTGTCATTTTATAATAAACAGTGAGTTGCCATTTATCACATTGTCCGAAGACCGTACAAAGATTCTGACAATTATATCAAGTCATCAACAAACATTATACATCCAGTTGATAATTGATTCCATGGAAATCTGGAACGTCATTAATATCTATGTTGGACAAGAAGCCTCTCGAAAAAAAAGTTTTAATCCTTATGTTATAATTCTTAACCAAAACATTTGCAATTTTTAATTAACAATTTGTTGTTCATTGCCTACTATTTAGTCATCAAATGGAAAATTGACATGTCATAAATAATGAGTACGCCGCCATATTGACTTTCTGAAATCCACGAATGTTCAATAATAGTATCTAAAATGAAATAACACCTACCCCAAAAACTTCATTTTAATAAGATATTATCCGAATATGAAGCGTACAAGTAACGGAATAACCTTCAGCTTATAAATGCGTTTTCATGCGTATGACATCACTCTTTGCCATGACGTTAATGCGGCAAGATCATTCGTGAAATTTTGGGGAATTTTTATTATTTTTTTTTTTTATGTTATACTTTTTTTATGAATTAAAATAGAAATAATGTATTTTGTTTTTCTACCTCAATTTGCTTGGAATCCCCCGATCCCATGCATGTGTATCACGCATGAATAGATCACAGTCAAGGTTACGAAAGTAGTTTCGGCAACTTGGTCTATTGAAGTTTTTACCAAGGGGACAAATTCTAACGGACCAATCCGATTCAAGTATTTGTAGATATGGAAATTATATAATTCTTATATGCATTTAATCATATTAATCAGCTTATTACAAAAGTTTTCTTTTCTCTTAACTGATTTTGATGTTTCAAAGATTATCAACTTTTTGGGGTTTTTTTTTTAAATCAGGAATGACGGTCCGGTACAATACGTTTCATTTTTATTGAACAAAACTATTTAGTTTTCGACAATGCCTTAAAAAGAAAATGAGTATACTTTTCACGACATCGCGTGCAACAAGCCTCATGATGATCTTCATTTAGCATGTTGTTAATGAAAACGCAGTTTACCTGTAGCCAGATGGTACATACTACTGAAATATGAAACATCAATAACACGTCTTTATATATAATATAGAATATCTAATAATGTTATGAAAATATTAAATAATATTATCTTGTTATTCTGTTCTGCAAGTTAAGAATTGAACAACTTGAAGATGAATCATTTGGTTTTTGTAATATTGGCAGCTTTTCTTAATGCAGCAACCAGTAAGTAAATTATATTTTTTGCATTTGTTTAATTATTTTATAACTGATTATACGTGGTTGATGTTGCATGTACAAATTCTTGTAGTTAGTAATATTACATAACAATAATTCTGTTATCTACTTATTGTTTAGGACATTTTACAGTACAAATACAAAATGTGTATATTTGACAATATATCAACTTCTATGTTTGGATTAATGCTTATATGACACCGTTATGCATCATTCTTTTCATGAACTACTAGATTTGTCATTTGAGGGAAACTGTCCACTCCTAATTATTACATCATTTACATTAAAGCACATGTTTAGTATTAATAGTAAAAAAATCCTAAGTAAAATGTTTCTCTGTTACCAATCAGCAATAACATGCTTAAAATACATCATTCGAAAACAAGGTTTTTGATATTTGAAAAACATTTGTAGAGTTACTTTTCCTTACTTGAATGTTTTTCCATCTTAATCTACAAATGTATACATTTTAGTCAAACATTTACAATGTTACAGAATTATTTTTGTTGTCGATATAAAAACAATGTGATGTGGTATGATTAGACTAATTGGTTTTGCTCAGTTATTATCATTATTATTATTATTATTATTATTATTATTATTATTATTATTATTATTATTGTTCCTCTTCCTCTTCCTCTTCTTCTTCCGCCGCTTTTAAATTTGAACTTGTCCGTTCTCCAAAACCGCCAGTCAGATTAAATTAGGGTTTCACAATATGTTTGACTAATATGTCTAGTGGTGCAATCGGGGTTTTGTTTGTGCAATGGGGTTTATAAAGGGGTACTTTGAGGGGCAAAACGGAAGGAGGGGTTTACTATAGAACTCTATGGGATTTATTTTTTTTTAATTTTCAAATGATTATAACTTGAAAACAGTTAGTGAAAGACACAATCTTTATAATTAAAAATGTTCTAAATGATAAAGCACAATAAATGAAATAAAAGGTTAGTCCCCAGGGGTAACCCCCACCCCCTGCCATTTGAGAAAGTTCTAATATCTTAAAAGTGGTCAAGATCCCCACCCCTAAACCATATATATTTTGGTTTGTCATGATAAAGCACATCAAATGAAATACAGGGTTAGTCACCAGGGGTCATCCCGACCCCCTGCCACTTGAGAAAGTTCTAATATCTTGTAAGTGGTCAAGATCCCCACCCTTAAACCAAATATATGCTGGTTTGTCATGCCAAGATGATTTAAATGATATACATGGTAAGACCCAAGGGGTCATCCCCACCCCCTGTCATTTGAATATGTTAAAATGTCTTGTTAATTGTCGAGATCCCCACCCCTAAACCATATATATTCCTGTACGTCATGTCATGAAGATATGAATGATATATGGGTGAGGTCCCCAGGGGTCTCCCCCTCCCCCAATGTTCTAATATCTGTAAATGGTCGAGATCCCGACCCCTAAACCATATATATTCCTGTTAGCCATGTCATGAAGATTTGAATGATATAAATAAAAGGTCCCCAGGGGTTCCCCCACCCTCAATGTTCTAATATCTTGTAAATAGTCGAGATTCCAACCACTAAACCATATATATTCCTGTTCGTTATGTCTCAAAGATTTGAATAAAATATAAGGTCAGTCCCCAGGGGTTCCTCCACCCCCAATGTTCTAATCTTGTAAATGGTCGAGATTCCCACCCCTAAACCATATATATTCTGGCTTGTAATGCCAAGATGATTTAAATGGTATACAGGGGTCAAGGGGTCATCCCCACCCCCTGTCATTTGAATTTGTTCAAATATCTTGTAAATGGTCAAGATCCCCACCCCTAAACCATATATATACCTGTTCGTCATTTCAAGAAGATTTGAATGATATACAGGGTCAGTCCCCAGGGAATGACGAGTTATGGGAGCTTCGTTTGGGAGACTTCGTAACAGCTTCCTGTTACAATCATTTCTTGTTATAATAGTGTTACAAATGAAATTATACTTATTAGCTTTAAACCACGATATGTTTAATCCTTACACTTCATTTTTACTCTGTATATGTGAGTTCTTTAAAAATAAATTAGAATATTATTATTTGCATTTCTACTTTCAAGTTGGGTCAACTGAAAAACAGACAATTTAGGTTTGGCAATATAGGTGTTTTAAAAAGTAACCATGAAGATTTTTTTTTTGTACTTGAAGCAACCTGTCATTTATAATCTAATGTTAAAATATTTCTCAAGAATAATTTGAACCCTTTCTCAACGTTAGCCGACTTGGAATATCAAACTGGATATTTTGTCCTCAATATATACAATAAACTCACATAGATACCAGGATTATAATTGTGTACGCAAAAGATAAAAACAACTGCTTGTAATTCTTGTAAATATAGTTATGAATGTTTCAAAACTATAAAATTCCCATACTTTATCAACTTCAACTACAACAATCGGACTATAAGTTTCAAAACGAACTGGCCTCTTACCTCACATTCATGATTTTATAGATGATAAAAATCAACTGTGAGTGCATGTTGTTACGTCATCAAACGCCATTTAGGTTAGTACATGTTACAAATAATATTAAGAAAATGAGAAAAAGACTATTTCGGAGGTAAAGGACAAAAGGAATCAACGAAACATTTTCCCTTACAATATTACTTGTTTATTTCTTTAGGCAATTTCTGTAATAAAGTGATGTGTATTGTACTTTAACAAAAGAAAAAAAAGCAAGCAGTCATGTGAGAGTGTGTTTTCTAATATTTCAGCTGCGGGGAAGAGAATAGAGGTTGACAATAATAATGGAACACACAAGCTATACTCCGTAAGGAAAACCTCAAATGGTAAGTTTATACTAAATGCGTACACAATTTTTTGTAAAGGATTCATCATGGTTACACTAAACTAGACAAAGAATACTTCCTGGAAATGACAAATAAATGAGTTTCTCTAATAATTATTGTTGATCATCAACATTGTCGTTCATTATGGCTCCCAATCTGATCTATATTTATTTACCGTTAAAGATATATCCTAAAATTTATTTGGTACTGTCTGTTTTTTTGGGACATCTGAAATTTTTTTTAAGCTATACTATTACGTTTTTTTTTATTATTTAAATTTGTATTTCAAATGTAGTCTTATACATTGTACAAAACAGAGGTATTTTCCTCATACGATATATATCATAAGATACATGTATATCATATCATCAGATACATCTATATAATCTATATAATATCAATATCATCAGATACTTGTATATAATATCATCAGCTACATGTATATTGTATCATCAGATACATTTGTATAATAATTGTGTAGAAAGTACATATTATGTCTAACACATTAATACGCTAGTTTTCATTGTATAAAGGAAAGATTTAAATCAATTATTAAGTAATTTTTATTTTTATTGTTTGTTAAATGAAAAAAGAAAACATCAAAAAAGGTAAACATCTGAAGGTTGAACAGATAGAAAGGAAATATGATGGAAAATATAGTTTAGTTATGCTTTTCCATAATACATGCTGTCCAGTGTAAAAAAAGTTACAAATAATACATGGCTTGGTACTACATGTTTTACATTTATATGGATTTTAAGTAATTTTGTTTTCTATCCAAAGACAGAGATTTAACAATTATTTAATAAATTTACCTGAAATAACTTTATTTCAGGATTAGGAGAGATGTATGGAGAAGTTAATTCCACCGGTACGTATTTTTGCTCATAAGAGTATTTTTAAATCAGACTGTGATTATTATGAACAATTTTAAGTTTAACGTACACAATAATAAGTAAAAATAATTAATCAAATCATTCAATTAACATTAAACGCACACCCTTGACGCAATTAAAGAATTCTTGCAACTATCCGTTCTCTGTTTTTATTTTAAACATTTTACAACATATATATCTGCAATCGTAATGATAGAAAGCCAGACATACATGTATAGGATGTATTACGATGTTAAGAATATATAGTCTAAAAAGTTTTTTTTATTATTTTTAGGATTCATCCCAAAAGTGAACCAACATAAAAGGTCTAGTTCAGAACAGATCCTCATCGTTGATATGAGTTACGCTACGCAACAAAATGTATTAATACACGCAAGAGAAGCTTTTCGATTTTACAGTACACCGCTGGATATGGCAAGACATATCAAAAAATTATTGGACAGAAATTTGTATGGGTATTATAACTGTATTGTTGGCACATCATTTTCGTATTATATATCCTATGATTTGCGTCATTTAATCTTTTTCAGAATGAATGGATATTACATTTTGGTATTTAGACGAGGAAGTAGACCAATTCGGTGACACAGTGCATATTATTTGATTTGTAATGCTTTAACCAATTAGAATCTTTATCGAATAAATATTAAAGCATATCATCTGACGGTGTACTTTATTCTTTGTCTGGTCCTCACACATTCGTACGGTGCAATTTTTGTACTAACAAAGTCAAAGATAACGAATGTAACAACAAAAACGGTTTCCAATAACACGCCATCTGCAAAAAAATGGGACATCTCGATTTCTACGTTGATAAACAAATGTGTGTGCTGTTATCGTAAGAGACTCTTCATAGAATTGTACTTGCCATAAGAAACACGGGTGCAACATGATCTTCTCATCCATATGGTCACCTGATGACGGTTCGGAAGGGTTCATGTTGCTCATTTTGTAGCTTTTATGTAGTATTTTGTGGATTTGTTTGTCTTATCGTAATATTTCTAATTCTTTTGCCATGGAGTTGTTAATTTTTTTTTCGACTTATTATATTTTATGATGCAGTTGGTGTCTTCTGTCTCTGTTTTGTTGATGTCTTAGCAATGGTTATACCAGTGCATGGCCAAGGACGACAGTTTGCTCATTCTGTCTATTAAATTAAACTGGCATTCTACCTCCACAAATGCCTTAAAACAAAACTTAGTTGAGGCAAAACGGTAGTTACTGATGTTACTGAATATACAAATCAAAAGCAGCAAAATTGGGTTTGTCGACAGGCTAAAATCATCCATTTATAGGTTTCTAATTATTTTTAACACTTTACTTAAACATTTTCAAAAAATGAAAACAAGTTATGAATTTAGTGTGTCCGAAGCGGTTTTCTGGATTTACTTTCATCAGGAACGCTCAAAGCCGAATATTTGAAAGCCAAGGATGTATAAGAACCGAAACAGTTGAATAATTTAACCTTATATCTTTTAAGGACTAGATTTCTCGAATATATAATTTATGTATTAATATCTGATATAACCATATACTTTACGTGATCAGTTTCACGACCATGTTGAATAATTGTAATTCCTTATACACTGTAACCGTCTGCTTTGTGTCTCTTTTTTGAGAGGATCAATAGGTGGAAGGAGATATATGCATCTTTTAACAAAATCAATGAAATTTCTTTCAAAATGATTTATTTTCTTTCGTTGAACTTCTACCATTGAATTATTCAAAGATATACTATCATTTAATTATACAAAAGGTACTCTGTACGATTAAATAACCATCAATTTCCAAATTTCTTTAAAAACACACTTTTGCTTTTTAATTAGCTTTCCGACGGGTGTTTGGACGTGTTGACTATCGGTTGCAGTTGTCGTACGATAATTTATAAAAATTCATAAAAGATACTTGGTTTATGAACCGTTCAACTTTAGGATTTTAAATTTTAAATGTTGTGTCTGATGACAATATAGGAGGTAAAAACCTTGATATTGACGATTTTCACTTTTCTGTTGAGGATTTATTGTCCTTGCTTACTAAGGAAATGACACTTTATGTTGCATCCGTGCAATAGCTTGGGAACTGTTTCACCGAGTCTTTTCAATTCTAATATGTTGTTATTGATGACAATTTTGAGGTCAAGTTTGAAATTCAAGGTTGTCACTGTTCGCAGTTCTTATATCATGGAAAAACGACTGACATCGACACTACGTAAGTTTTGTCGTCACTATCACAAATTGGATGTCCGATACGATGTATTGGTCATGTTGGTGTCTCATCTCACTAGCGACATATTTTCGCGGTCTTTAAAAACCAGTATAGTCGTCTAATCTGTAATTGTACCGATTGTGTCTTATTTACGATTATGAAATTTGTCATGGTGTGAATTCGCATGGCGGGGTGATGCATGCGTATGCATGGTAGGATGACGGTTATCCTATCGATGCACCTTTTGGAGATCATACGATCTAGTATTTTGATTATAAGGTCTTTCCCCCTCTTCGTGGAAACACTTTAGAAATTATGAAGAAATTATTTATTTCGTAACTTTTTTATAGCCCTGATTTCAATAGATGTCATTTGGTTTATTCCTTCGAACAGTTTTTAAGGCGTTTGAATTCATACGTTTTATCGAAATGCGTTTCTTTGTTATACATGATCAAGTTATAATCCTGGGGTTTTTTTGTTGTTGTTTTTTTTTACTACGCATTTGAAACTATAATAGATATCAATAGTTTCCCAAAATAGCTTGTTTCTTACTTGATGTATTCAGAATGTCGCAAGGTGTTTTATGCATCATAGCAGGAGATAATTACCCTATCGATGTACCCTGTCTCGATTCTTTTTGAGCACATGCCATACGCCTCGTTCTTGTTTGTTTCCGTTGATTTGTATCTTCTTAATGGATTTATTAGATATGAACATCAGTAAACTACTGTTACCTCCAATTTCCAAGTGATCAATAGTAAATATGACGCTGTTTGGATATATGTAGGTTGTAATGTCATGTTGACTTTTTATTTTTTTTTCCTTAAATATTTTAAATAAGCTGTTTAGGAGAATAACACCTAAACCAAACATATCTGCATTTGTTTGCACCTGTCCTAAGTCAGAAACCTGTTGTTCAGTGGTTGTCGTTTGTTGATGTGGTTCATAAGTGTTTCTCGTTTCTCGTTTTTTATATAGATTAGACCGTTGGTTTTCCTGTTTGAATGGTTTTACACTAGTCATTTTTGGGGCCCTTTATAGCTTGCTGTTGGGTGTGAGCCAAGGCTCCGTGTTGAAGGCCGTACTTTGACCTATAATGGTTTACTTTTACAAATTGTGACTTGGATGGAGAGTTGTCTCATTTGCACTCATACCACATCTTCTTATATCTATATATTAGACAGTTTTTTTTATTGGAAATCCTTGAAATAAAGGCCAAGTTGAAATGCCATGTTGCTGTTCTAGGTGCGACCTTTGCTTGTTATCACACTAGTCTGACACTGTTAGAGAAAAACATGCAGATAAATTTAGGTAATTAGTATTTCCCGTTATTATTAGTTTTTTTATTCTTTTTTAAACTTTTTTTATTACTTCCAATTTACAGCATAATATACACAAATATTACCGCAATACGTACAATATAAATCTCTTGATTTTATCTAATCAATACATCTTTCTAAGAACCATTTGTTTTCTAAATGAGTGTATATTAGATAGAGAGTAAGACAGTCTGACCACGAGAGAGAGAGATAGAGAAGTGAGGTGAATTTTAGATACAAATTCATCTATACATTGAATTATAATTCACTATATTAAATAAAGCATTTTCTTTCATAGCAGTAAACACTTATACTATAACTAAGTATTTTATCAAAAATACTCCATTCTCTGTGGAGGTATAATAAACTTTTAATGGGGAGAAACATATTTTCAGTTATTAGGTATAAGCTTTGATCCCAAACTAAATGTTCCAGTGTTTTCATTTCTCTATTACAAAGTGTACAATTTGGATTATAAAAAATATTTATTGTATGAAAATATTTGTGTAGCTAAAATTCCATGGTTGAATCTATACTGCAGTGGCCAATGTAGTTTGGTATTTTTTTTTGTGACAATAAATGGCATTTTATTAATATTTTTCCGATGACTTTTATAAAAAATGTTTAGTCCATCTATACTGACAAGTTTGAACAATGTTTTGGTTTAAACAATATACATATATTTAGATCCTTTTGAACTTTTAACAAGTCTACAAATAGCAGATGAAATGTACTTCTACTTTGTGTGGTTTTTTTTACCACAAAGGATATAATACTATATAAAATTCCACCAATATCGGTATTCATTTTGACCACTGTTTAATTACACATTTTATTAGAACACGTTTTTCATCATAATTAATTTTCACAATTCTGTCAAGATCAACATTAAAGCTTATACCTAATAACTGAAAATATGTGTCATTAAAAGTTTATTTTTTGGCATTGCACCTCAATACTATACTTTGTATTTCAAATCCAAATAACCGGAGTTTTAGAAAAAAATGATATGTAAACCAAGACCAAGAGGTGAAAAACTTTTTGAAAAAAGGACCAAAATATCATCATCCATCTAAAATAAATTGGAAACAATGTCGTCAGGTCATTAAAGATGCTGTTTCGTCGTATTGTAAAAATTAGTGTAATCGGGGAAAATCTTATAAAAAATCTCTTGATTCTTATTTAAATAAATGTATGAATGTCGTGGATATTCGAATATCAAATTTTGAAAATAATTTAGAAATAAATAAAAGAGTACATAAAACGCCTATTTCTGGAATAAGAAATAAACTTCAAGTTCTCGCAAAGCGGTTTGTGTTTTTACCGGCTGACAACGCAGCCAACAATGTGGTGGTGGTATGACGTAAATACTACACGGAAGTTCTTAAGAATGAAATTTTAAATTCTTCTACATTCAAGCCGTGCGCTCCACAGAGAGTCATATAGTATGAATTATTCTAAAAACTAAGGATTTTCTTATCCCAGGCATATAACCTTAGCCGTATTTGGCACAACTATTTGGAACTTTTGGTCCTCAATGCTCTTCAACTTTGTACTTGTTTTGGCTTTCGAACTTTTTTGATCTGAGCGTCACTGATGGGTCTTGTGTAGACGAAACGCGCTTCTGGCGTATTATATTATAAGCCTGGTACCATTTGATAGCTATTATTTGTGTGTGTCTCTGTCCTCTATGTTCTCCCATTTATTTGTATTGTAGTCCTGTCATGTAATCTTGTCATTTTAATGTTATATTTAACATTGCAATAAAAGCGGGAGGTTTGGCTAGCCACAAAACCAGGTTCAACCCACCATTTTTTCTTAAAATGTCCTGTACCAAGTCAGAAAAATTGCCATTGTTATATTATAGTTCGTTTCTGTGTGTGTTGCATTTTAGTGTTGTGTTTCTGTTGTGTCGTTGTTCTCCTCTTATATTTGATGTGTTTCCCTCAGTTTTAGTTTGTAACTCGGATTTGTTTTTTTCTCAATCGATTTATGAATTTCGAATAGCGGTATACTACTATTGCCTTTATAGTAAACAATCATATCATAACCACACCACAGCTTAAGGCCTCTTCTGAACATTAGAAGGTCCCTGCTATGTATTGTTCTACACAAAAAACCAGTCAAATATCGTTTCATC